AATGAAAAAAGTAATTGCTAAAAAACGTTACGTAACTCTGTTATCTAATTATTGTCCCCTCCCCCATCATGCGTCAGACAAATTTAAATGGAATTGCTATTATTCATAAACTATATTTGTACAAGAGAAAAATAAAAAAATTGGTAATTTTTTGTTCGATGCATTTTATAAATACCTCGACATTTTAAAATTAAATATTTATTTAACTAAAATAAAAAAAAATGTTATTATTTATTTTTAACTGATCACCCCAACTATCCTTCCCTTCATTATTCCCTACAGTCAACCATCAACCCACAATCGACATTTTTAAAAAACGAGATACCCAAATGTATATAGTACACGCTTGTAGAGTATCACATAGCCGAACCAACACAATCGCGACACAGTTCCGCCTTCGCCACTTTTCTTGAACGCTAATTATCTTTTTAGAAATTAGAAATAAAAAGTTCAAAACTCATGGAAGTATTTAATTTAAATACAAATACTGAAAATAGTAGACATCCTTTGGATATATATTTAATTTTTCTATGAATACATTTGAGATTAATTATTTCGAAATTTGAGAAACTTTAATGTTAAAAAAAATAGATGAACAAATGAGCGAAATGTATAAATTGTAAATAAAGTGTTATTAATGACAATATTTTTTCTGCATGGTATCCTTTTCAGTCGTGCCCTCTCAAAATTAATTAAACTTGTTGACTGAATGACAAAAAGCTATTGTTAATTACTTCATTCAAAAAACACGTTAGGTTGGTGTTTTGTTTCAACGCTGAATTATCTCGCATTAACAAACGCATTAATGAAGTATTTACTGATTATCAAATGTCACTTTTGAGGATAACTTACGCGTTGACCGAATACATTTTTGATATATATATTCTTTTACAGGCACTATAAAATGATGATGAATGATACAGAATACAGATAAATAAACTCTTATTTTATTTTAAGTCATCATCCCAAAGTATGTTGTTACAGTATTCATAGCATATATACAGAGCAAATTAATGGATATATTGTAAGACCTAAAATAATTAATTTTTGTTAATTTTCTGACTTTCTTTGTTCCTTTCCACTATAAATTATTTTGATTAAAGCTTTTTTTAAACATATTTATTGATAAATATTATATTTTGTCTCAATTAAGGTCTGTTTTTACCTACTTTTTTTTCATCTATTGTATTGCAATTTATTTTATGTTTCTTTTCTCTAGTCATTTTGAGTTTTCAGAAACTTTAAAATATTGAAAAATAGTATGTGTTTATTTTTTTTTTTAATTCTTCTTCTTTCTGTAAATAAAAAAAAAAAAATCAAAACCAAAATCTTCTGTTTTCGTACAAACAGTTTTTTAGATACTTACTGACTTATTTTTAATATTTTGAAGCTTTGAATTATGAAAAATTTATTACTTGATTGAATAAAATAAAATTAATGTTAATGGGGATATATAAAAAATTTGGTGAACTGAAAAATAAAAAAAAAAATTTAATTTACAATGCTTTTTTCGTTAAGATAAAAAGATAACATAGAAGAATAACATAAAAATTATTTTAAAATAGTTTATGGTTTGAATAATTTGTTTTTCTTTTTATGGATTATTAATAATATATACATATAATCTATAATAATTAATTATTATTATATCTAATATCAAAAGAACGAAACCAGTGAATCTATGCTGTATGTTAACCATATTTTTTTTGTTTGGTTGAGCAAGATGATCCTAACATAACAAAAACTAGTGGTCACCCTGAAAGGCCTCCTTAAATTTACCTAAGCCAGGCTACATCCAAGAAGTTCCTTCGGCCTTCAGAAAAGCCTCCACATCGCTGGATCCTGGAATGGAACTGGACCTAAGATCCGAATTATCCACAGAAATTTTAGAGTTGAATAAATAGAAAGAAAAAGAATTAAAAAAGAAAAAAATTACGCAATATATTTCAATACCACCTCTTGCAATACATACAATTTTTATATTCCGAACCGGTCCTGGAAGAATGGTATCAAAGAAGTTGAGTATGTACTGGGAATCTGGGATGAGACGCTTCTATCCCATTCTTTTTGACATTCCACAGGGGATGAATTGGAGTGATCCTCATGCCAAACCCAACGCTATCGATTCGCAAAGGAAATAAGTAATAGAAGGGCGAGGGGTACGAAGGATGTACTGCAGGAATTCCACTAAACATGAGACTTGGAATTAAATAGAATAGCAAACGGATCACAAGGATGCAAGCGCTAGAGGAATTCAATTTAATTAAACCCCTAGAATCTAGGACGGAAAAGGAATAGACGGAATTAGAAACAGGAACTATGTTAACTTAACGAAGTATGACTTTTTTGTGACTTTATTAGAAATACACATAATTAAAACACTAAAGTATTCCTTGTTTTTTCATTAATTCACACCCATTCTTTAACTAAACCGAGGACTAGAACTAATTTTTAAAAAAATAAGAAAAAGAGAGGGTATTGTTCATTAAATTTTTAGCCAAAAAAAACAACTTATTGCTGTTCATATTATAAAATGGGTTGAAACTCAAGCGATAAGGCATAACAGGTAGTAGATAAAACACGATATACAGTTTTGAAAATGAAAATAAAAATACATTTGGAATATTATATATAATAATTATATGAGTGACTTCATATCAAAGGCGGGCATTTGTCATATTAAACAAATTAAGAAAAAGCCATTTTTTGTAACATAGCTTCGATTAAAACTAATTAATTCTATTGATTTATTTTCATAATTCAACTTAAACATTTCTAAATAAAATTATCAGATTGATTTAAACCTATACCTTTTTTTTTTTTTCTTTTTTCACTTTCTGAAAAAGACAGACGTTTGTCCTTGGTATGAGGCTAATAATAATAATAAAAAAAAATGGCATAATATTACTGAACACAACTCCCTCGGCTTATTTATTGAATTTTAAATCATCTTTGAACCAAACTAATCAGCAGATGTAGAATGTTTACTATTTAGGATATGTTTCTGTTATTTCTGAAGATATTTTTACTCACTTACATTTCCAACTGAATGTGGGTGGGTTTACACTAAAATGTTACCAGTATCTAACAAATCTGGCAATAACAAAATGTAAATAACATTATTATTATTATTATATTTACACTTTATGTCGACATCGATTTGAGTTAAAAACATTACAATAATTTTAAACTTAATCAATGTTGATTAAAATTTTGAATAAGAGTTCAGGAAAAATAGTTATGACTTTCAGTGCCTATGTATATAAATGCACAGAACAGTACTATTATTTGATGCAATACATGTATTATGTCAAAATTTTAACAGGTATCTCACTGTTTTTGGAACAGGAATTGTAATAGGAAGGTTTTGAATGTGGATACGTGGAGGGGGTGGAGAGAGGGCATTCCGAATTTCGATATGGAAGAAATTCCAGAAATTGAAAGAACGGACAACAATGGAGCTTTGAAATGAGACAGGTCTTTGAAAAGAGATGTAAAGGTCAGAAGGTCGAGATCTTGTGGTAAGGGAATGTAGTGCGGACTCAATTGGAGAAGGTTGTAGTTATAGGAAGGACGATGAATGATAAAGGAATGTGCCAAGGAAATGTTTTCTTCAGGAGGGGAAGAGCCACCTTAACTCAGTGTAGTAGTAGGAGTCAATATGTATGTACACATTTAAAATTGGTGACTAATACAGGTATAGCGATCAGGGCCGGCCTGAGGATTTTATATATAGAGGCATAAGGAATTTATAAGAATGATTTCGTTCGATATAGACAATATGATAAGGTTACAACAAAACTAATTTTGTGGGTTCTTGGGACTCTTAAACGATCAAATTAAATCAGATCTTAAACATAATGTTTTCATAATATATACATGTATATGTATTCCCCCTCTTTTTTTTATGTACTAGTATAAATGTTTTTCATACCTTGTCATTTCCGTTTTACAAGAATGTTATGCTCATCGATCTGCTTAATTTATTTTTTTCTTATTATTTTTTATATAAATGTTTTAATTTTTTCTAAGATAGAATTCATAAATCTTAATTTATTTATATATCACACTACTTTATTCATTTTGATTTGGTACTCCTCTATTAGAGGAATTTATTTTTTATTTATTACTTTTATTTGCCTTTTTTTCATTTTTATAGCAAAGCAGTGATTATTTTTTATATAGTTTCTTGAGTTCTTGGTTATTATTTTATTAGTTTGCATAAGGATTTTTTATTTATTTAATGTAACTATTTTTGTTTTATGTAGTTCTTCTAGACAGAAGTATTTTATTTGCTCTGTAAACTTTTCTTAATTCTTAGAGGATTTCGTCGCAGGATAAAGATATTTTTCTATTTATAATTGGCCGTCTATTGAAAAGACTTTGAATGAAGAGAAGGGTGGTTGGGAAGATCAGTCAGAAAGAAAAAGGCAAAAATAAATAATGATATTTATTTTAACATTTGCCGACGTTTCGACCTGAAGTTCAGGCCTTCATCAGGGCTGTTCCAAGAGATTGCTGGAATAGAGTGGAACGAATATTATCCATTAATATTAAGTATGGATAATATTGATGATGCGAGTTATTATCCATTACAACGACTCTATCCAGAAATCTCTTGCAGCAGCCCCGATGAAGGCCTGAACTTTTTAGCAAATGTTAAAATAAATATTATTGTTAATTTTTGCCTTTTTATTTTTGACTGATCTCCCCAACCATTCTTCTTTTCTATTTTTAACCAGGCGAGGAAGTATTGTCATATGTTAAATCGAAGTCATATGCCTCCTTCATAGTTTTCATACAGATAATCTTGCAAGATAGTCTTGCACTAAATTTGATATCACTGCATTAAATGGCATGGACAAATGATCTACATTTACTTTAATTCCCCTATCTGATGAATAAACTTTGGGAGCGATTTGGCGGAAACAAAGCGAATTAAAATGGTAAGGGTTGGCGGGCCGGCCTCGGCTAGATGGGGCAGATCCCTTCAATAATGGATGCAGGTCGAGTGGCCGGACCAGCCGGTCCTTTCCCTATCCGGGACCGCTTCAATATTTTATCCTTCTGCATTGCCCCGGCCTCCCTCCCCACCCCCGCGTCCCTAACTCCCTAAGTTTAAAGTAAACTGCTCCGTGCTTATCGTCCCCGGGCCCTGCTCCAGATGGTCGACTGCGGGACTAGTTCATAATTCCGAGCTCCATTTAGCATATGGATTATTGCGAAAAGTCACTAAGTACACTTTTGATGGATAAGTACACTAATATTCTGAGCTAAGAGCCATTGTTATCAAATTATTAAGGTCCTTCAAGAACGTCGTGAATGGCATCCTCTTATCGTAACCTAAAACTTTTTTTCTCTTATCAAATTCTCATTAAATTAGCCAATTTGATGAAGTATTAAGAACTCATGAAAACCTATTTGATTTAAAAAAGACACATCGGATAGAATGATAAATAATCAAACAAGTAATGGACGATGAATATTTATTTACTTATTTTTACTTTCACTTACGTATATATGTAATATATAGTAAGGGTAAGTATTGCGATCGAGAAAATTCTTGAATCTGAGTTTTCAACGGAAATACACGTTTTGAGGTACACTGAGTCCAAATAACCAAGTGTCGCAAAATGGTCTGTATGTCTGTTGTTAAGCAGTCTACCTCAAAAACGAAAAGTCGTACGAAACTGATATTAAGTATTTAAGATAGGTATATGCCTTAGATGTGACAGCAACTTTTTCTTCAAAATCTGTTAACCGGAAGTGCCACTTTATATCAACGCTGAAACACATTTTTTTATATGATATACAGTGCTTAACTTTGAGCTTCAGACAATATCATTAAAACATATTTTTGAATACAAAACATTAAAATTCAATTCATAAAAATATTACTAAATTCCAATAAAGGTTCCAAGAAAAAGGAAAACGGCATTTTCAAACTAAATAATTAATATTTAACGCTTCAGTCAAAACTTCTATAAACTTTTGACCTGAACTAAAATTTATTTCAAATAATAATAAATAAGTAAAGTGAAATCCATTATGGACCATAAATATTCAAATAGTTTATCAAGTAATCGCGATATCAGTTAGAGTTTATAATGAAATTCAATAAATAATTATGAGGGAAAAGAAGCTGGTGTTACCTCAATGAAAATTTAATATCATTATAAGTAATTTTGATTTAATAACAAAATCATTGCTGAATATTATGATTGAGGTTAATGATTAAACAATAATATAAAATGGACTTACAGCAATTAATGGTTCATTTATTTATTAGGTACACATATTCCTGGCTTACAATAAATTTGCCATCTACCTCAGTATTCAGCAAATATAATATGAAGGAGAATAAATGATTGCATAAAAAAAATATTAGTAATAACAAAAAAAAAGCACTAATAAAATGAAAATAAGATAACATAATAACACAAAAAAAAAAAAAAGATACAGCAAGTAAGTCTCTTGACCAGCGCCTCAGCAGTCTTCTGGGCAGATTATATCGATTTGTAGCTGTAGATAAAACTTGATTAAGTGGATTTGAATTTAGTCCGTCTGTCATGAAAATTATTAAAGCGTCATGATTTTTATATTTGATGTGTTTGGTGGTCCCTATAGTTCGATAAATGGAACGGGAATGAATATACGAAACAAAATTATAACACCCAAGTGTTTTGTAATAAAAATACTTTTTCAGAAACTAGAATTGATATCTTGATGTTTAGAGAAAAATTAGTTCATAATTAGAGAAAATTCTTTTTTTGAATAATCTTCTTTTAAAAGTGTTAATGTGAAACCATTAAAATTTTCTTATAAGTATAGATGTGTGCCTATAGAATCAAAAATTATTGTTCGAAAATAATTGGGAAAAATAACAAAAAGAAGACAACATTTTCTTTCACGCGAGTTTAATAATCAAATATTGAAACTTTTAAAGATGGGAGAGAAAATATCGTTGCCAAGAATGAAGTTTACAGTACTATTTCTAATGAATTTAAATTATATTAACTAAAAAATTGATAATCAGCTTAGGTAGTGGATAGAGCGATACAAACAAGGGTTTTTGGTACTACAACTAGGTTTACGTCACATACTAAAATAATATTATTTTGCAGACAGTATTTTTAGTAATGATTGTAAGCAAAGAGTCAAACAACAGTATTTTCACTCAGTGCTTAAATTTACATTTTTGCCTAAACCTTTAAAATAATCGTTATAAATTTCATTTTCATACGATGTTGGGAATTTTAATGGCACATTTTCACATTTCTACTAATTTTATACTTATTGAGACTTTTATATTAGAGAGTTTAATGCTAAACGAATTATAAAAATTACAGTACATAATATGCGTAATAAAGTACAATAAGTGATAACTATGAGAGTAATGATTTTTGAAAATAAAAAATGTTCTTCGGAACGTTACAATAAGAAAAAAAAAGTCAAATGCGTGAAATTTCATCATTAAAAAGTGCAACAATTAGAAACATAAAATTTATAATAACACACTAGTTAGTCTTCAAGGTAAAAAGAATATAACAAATTGCTTTTTTTTTCTCTGTGCAGTGCACTTTTAAAACATAAGGACATATGACAAGTAATGGAATTAAGTGAACCTACTAATAAAAAATTTTTTAGTATATCCATTATATGTTTTTATTGACTTAAATAAATTAACTGAGGTATTTAGGAGAGAAAAAATTGTTATTATATTAGTAACTAGTTGGCCCGTGCGAAAAAATCGCAGAAAATTTTGTTTAATGAAGAAATAACAAAACAATATGGAAATAAATAGTTTCTATGTATTATGTAAGGAAGGAATTAATATTTTTTTCTTAGTCGATTACAATATTCCATTAAACATAATAGACCAAAATATTTTTTGCATGTGAAGGAGAACAATATCTTCAAAATGAGTGGTCAACCATTGGATTTGATAAAGAATTGACGAAGTTATGGCGTACCGACAAAAAAACAAGTTTTAGTAATAATATATTTTAAACGATATATTTGATAGGTATAAAACAAACACACTCCAGTCTCCTCGAGCCAGGTTCAAGGCAGTCTTCACAGCCATGGCAGAATATTCGTAATTAAATATAATAAAAATAATCATCAGTTGTAGAGTTATTATCATTTTTATAAAAAAAGTAATACAGGTTTTATGAATAATAGATAATTATAAAAACAGTTTACCTTAAAAAAGAACTCCACATCTATCACTTTCTTTGACAGATTTGAAGTATTCATTAATACTTTCTATGAGTGAAATATTTTGATTTCTATTATAATCGATAATCACTCGGTTAGAGTATATTCGAATGCGGAGATTATGTAATTTTCCTTTTAGGAAGGCTATTTCCAATATCATTTCTTTTCAAACCTTAAAGTTACCATTAAATATATATTTATACTTGTTGGTTAGGACTTCACTTTATTATAATAATATAAACACACACTTTGATCACAACAGTACTAAGTTTTTTTTTTCTTTTATAGGTCGAAGTTTCAGCCCTTGGGCCATTTTCAAGCGAAGAAACGTATAACAAATAAAAATCACCACCACAGCCTAATTATACTTTTGTATTGATTATTATCATTTTATACTTTATAAAATCATACTTATTTAAAAAACACATGGGCTGGATTGCCCTTCTCATCCTAGCTTAATCCGTCAAATACTAAACCTCCTTCTATAAGATTATGTTTATTTTAATTTTAAACTACTACAGTTTTAATTTTTTTTTTCATATTTCCATCCACACCTGTCATGAGATTGACAATAAGCAGATGTGCTGTAACTGATAAGAAAAATAGAGATTTTAGGCATGAGGAAAAAAATAGTACCCAGAACCAGAAACACTTCTTCCTGGTCTTGATTTATTTCCTTAATTCAAGAAAGGAGATCTCTCATCCAGCTCCTCTTTAGTCGTCTCTTGATAGACATGTCAGCTGTGGCCATGTCGTTAATAAGTCCGTTGTAGTTTAAGATGAAATGTGGAGTAGAGATCGAGTATGTGTTGGTCGATAGTTGGCTGTCGTATGTCGTTATGTAAAGTTTTGTTGTTTACATACTAAAGAGCTCCTGTGATAAGTCGTAAAATTTTGGATTGAAATGTCTGTAGTTCAATTTAACTTTATAGTTCAAAATAAAATTTTTAGCAATTAAATATTCTATCATTATACTCTCTTTATGCATTATTAAAATAGTTCACAATATTATACTATAAATAAACACAATTTATTTACAGCCATATTATCTATTATATATATTTTTTAAAACAACTATAATTTCTACCTGCATTTAAAAAAAAAATCATATCTAAAATTCAATAAAACAATATTTATATTTAGAATTTAATATGAATTATTTTTAAAACTTCCTCTCTGCACAAGTAGCAATGCATTTCTTCTAGCATTTCAACATACTTATAAATTAATTTTATTTATAATTTCCGCATAATATTGAGCAATTTACCTTGAATCCGATTTGAAATTAATTGCATAGTCTATATTTTCTGTAATGTACAAACCTGTAAAATCTTCCTTTTGACGGTATTATTCTCTTTTCGTTCAATTTTAACTGTCTCAAATCAAAATTATGCATCTTACTGAAAGCATGTTGTACCAATGATGTCTTTTTCTGGTCTTTTTTCATGTTCTTTACATCATTATGTTAGGTTTCTCTAAAGGAAGTTCTCTTGATAAGTTCCTTATAGTCATCAATAACTTTCTATAGGATACTCATCAACTAACTAATCCAAATTTGGCGCAATAACGATCCATCATTCCTGATTTAGGTGAGAATAGTAAATAATATTGTCCGTGCTTTATTCCCCTACAAGTTTGTAAACTTTCCTTCTATTTAGCAGAGTATATAGGGCGGTAAGCGAGAGGACGTGCTATCCATTGGTTGTTTACCCCTATTGTAGGGAAAGGGCGGAGGGCGGAATGCAGAGCAGGTAGCTTGGATTTCAGGGCTGTGTAGGGAGCCGGTTCCTTCGGCGATACTCGATTCCAGCCACGTTCCGACTGCTCACAATACTCGGTTTGCTACTGCCTTCTTCCAATAACCCCGCCAGGTTCTATACAGGAAAATGTACCCCTGTAATCATTATTGCTAAACTAAATTTCGAGGGCTTTCTTGGATTTTGTATTGGTGATATATTGTTTGAAATATATCTAACAAAATACACCATTAAGTCATATTATTGACTAAAAACGTATAAATTTTATTCAATGCAGTAATCTACAAATAGGGATATAAACATTAGTTTACGATAACATATCACTATTTAGATTTTGTCTTTACAGACCTTGTTGATCTTCGGCCAACTGAACCACCCTTCTCCATGTTTGCCTATCATATGTTATTGCTTTCCAGTTTGTTGATTATATCTTATATCACTAGTATCTATGCATCCATCTGGATTTTGGTCACCCACATGATCTTTTTGTATCAACAGAGGCATTCACTGGGGCGTAGAAGATTTCATATGGATTGCTCTGAGCTATACGTTCTACCCATCTTAACCTCTTTGACTTCTACACTGGATTGATACTTGTTTACAGGATTCTTTTCGGGCCAGAGGAATTAGATCAAAGTGGAAAGCCTGCTCCTCCCAAGCACCGGGACTCGAGCTCGCAATCTTCAGTTTATCAGGTTGATGGGCACGCTCGGCCATACCGTTCCCGCGTTGACTGTAACTTACTATATTAAAGCTTCATTAATCGTGCGGAAGATTTTTCTCTCAACTCTCTTAGAACTTCTTTCTGGGCTGATAATTAGTGTCCAGGTTTCGTAGAGGAATATCTTAATTTGCTTTATCATAACATTGCTCAATCATAATTTGAAATTTATAGAGATTTTAATGCTTCTGGAAGAGAAGGGAAACATCTGCTTGTTATATGCAGGTGTACTTCTGATCGTAGGTTGTTAATTGAGATTATTGTGGGCCAACGCGATATTCGAATTTTCCAACCCTTGGAAACGATTTTCCTTCTATACAGTGCCTCCTTTTGGAGTGAATTTTTTGTAGTGAATTGTAATTTCGGTAAATTATTGAAGGAAGTTAGTCGACTGTTCTACATATCATGGGTGACTACATATCATTCAGGAAGCAGTCATTTTAAAAAAAAATTAATTTTTTATGCCAACGTTTCAACACAAACTTGTGGGTCATCTTCAGGGCGTGGTTTGAGCACTGAAGGTGTGTCAGTACTTGAACACCCCCAGTGCTCAAACGACGCCCTGAATATGACCAACATGTTTGGGTTGAAACGTTGGCATAAATAAAAAGTTTTTAAAAAAAATTTAAAGAAAGACTGCGTCCTGAATATTTATCACCCGTAATTTCGATAGATTGTTGGTTGATAGCCTCAGCTTCTCTTATGAGAGTCTCAGCGAGTCTCTAAATGTTTTCTTGATTGCTTCCAAGGAGAGCGATATCACCTGTATATCCTAACAGTTTAGGATTCTTCCGAAGTGCTCTCCAATTTTACAGTGATGTTGAACTTTAGCTAGTCCCGTGCTAAGTTGAACAGGATCTTTAATTATACATTAAATGAAGTAAATTACATCCTGAATTTTATAACTATAATAAAATGATAACAGTGAAAAATTATTAATGTCAACTTGCGAAGCTTCAGAATACCAAGTTTTTTTTGCGGGATAATTGTAATATTATATATATTTTTTTTATTTTCAGGCGATGGAGATGATTACTTGAACCTGGGTATACGGGAGGGAGGAGTCTTCCTCTGCATGAGCCTCGGGAGCGGGAAGCTGGAGCTGCAGATCAAGCCGAAGAGGGTGCGCTTCGATGACAACCAGTGGCACAAGCTCACCGTGCACAGGAGGGTGCAAGAGGTCAGTTAACATCTCATTCACAGTTATTCATTGAATGAACTTCTTAATCGTACACGACAAGTAGTAATAATGGCCTGTTTTATTTTATTTTTTTGTATATATATTATTGTACTGTAAATATATTTTGATCATTCAGTCCCGAAAAGCTTTTGGAGTAATCGTAAAATACTATTAAATGCACTCCTATTATGTTGTTGTTGCGTAGCTCTGCAAGGCCACTACATAGTCACATCTTTCACAATACCAGTCGTCGAGAATCTATGTTCTGTGTAGCCACCATCCAGGTTCAAACACAAATTACCTCGCGTCATTGGCCACACAGTTACCTCATCGCAATATTGACCTTCCTGCTATACGTCTTCCATCTATGGTTTCTGTCAATTGTTTCTTCGGGATGTTGTAACTCATTCTCATCAAGCAAACAATCCTTTTCAATCTTCCTAGTTTCATGATTTCAATTACACCAGACTTTTCAAAACAACTCGTATATTTCCTGGTTCCTACTTCGCATCCGACTTCCCGACAAAACTAACAGACAAATCTATTTTACATCCAGCTCAGGACTTTCGTTCAATTATTTGGAGATTTCTGTCCTTAGCTTGATTAGTTGCCAGAGTATCTGCTGTCGAAGCAGTATATTCACAGTGGCTATTCATGTGAACATTTCAATGGACATACGTGGACAATAATAGTTTTATAATTTTATTGAAAGGAATGTGATTAAGTTATTACAAAATTGATGTTTGTAAGCACTCCAAGCTAAAAATTTTATTTGTAGTCAAGATAGAGCGATAGAATGATTCAATGTGATTTTATATAACTTGGCATAGCAATTCAAATTATTGACTTTGTTTATTGAATTATTTATTATGATTTTATTCTCTCTTTTTTTTTTCATTTTAACATACAATGCGATTTTTTAAGAGGGACATGAGCATATGGTCGCTTGTATTCATCAGGCGCAGAAGGATTAATTTCGTAAACATAGAGTAAGTATTTTTTTAATATCTGATCAAAATACTTTGAGCCAAAATCTACGTTGAACTCTTACTCTTCTGACACCTCTCTACTCGTTGAACACCTTATAATTCAATATAATATTCGATGTACAACTTATTTGCTGCAATAACGTCTTAATTCACGATATTTCCAGGTGATTAATTTAACGTATTAATGGCGGATTCAAGAATGTTTTTAGTAGGAGGAGGGGGAGGAGGGTCAATTCCGAAAAAAGTGAATTCTATACAACAAAGGTGTGTTTATACATAAACTATACTATAATTATTGGTATAAAGATACGTAGATATATCTACAACTTTAGCGAGTATCTATTATACAGATAAATATTCCAAAAATATTTTTTTTTAAAAGTTATCATAAAACCTTACGGTAAAATATACTGAAAGAGAAACATGCATTAAATATTAAAAAGCTTTTAAAAGGTTGTGTATATAAATTTCATTGAATATTACACAAGACCTGGAGCTGTGCTTGTTTTCAGAGCTAATATACACGAGTATCCTCTTCTAGACTCCTGCACAGATAATAAACTTCATCTCCTAGGAAACACCTCACTTTTATTAATTCCGGAGAGACTTCAATTTTATTATTAATCATAAACATGCTATTAAATTAATTAAAACACTCCTCATCTAAGCCATCTCAACTAATTTATTCAAGCGGTAGTAAAGAAACGAAGCTTATTTTTTATAGAAAATACGTTTGTAATCGTTAAATAATAATTTTACTATTTTTTATTTTATTTTATCTCAATACATAATTCAAAACTTTTAAGTCTACTGGGTATCCTAATTCAATATCACATAATTGTCACCTCACTAAATTTAATCGAGTTGGAACTTTGTTAATGTGACTATTACTTTTTTTTTTTCTGAAATCTTTGCAGCATTCATTAATTATAGCTCAACTAGCTGGAATTTCAATCGCAAATTCTTTTACCTCCAATAATACTCACAAAATATTCACAAATATTTAGATACAATAATCATAAGATAATTTATGATCTGGTGGAGTATATTTATGTTCATCGTAAATATTTTGTTATATCTAAAGTTAAAAGGAAAAAATAAATATTTTTGTTTCAACAAAGTGCATAAGTTCCAACAAATGCCGCGTGAGGTCGCTATCGGAATGCCACATGATTGTGATTTAATTATATTAAGTCCTAATGGTCAAAAAATAATAAAATATATTCTCTCTTAGATTATATTTATCTCTAAAATCATTCCATCATATGTATGTAGCTATTCAAAGCCTTACTTAGCATTGTATCCAACCAAGCATTAAATTTAAAGCTTGAAAACACAAAGAAATTAAAAATGCACAAATGTTTTTTTCTGTTCTTTTTTACTTTCGCTTATGTGTTTATGTAATATATAGTAAGAGAAAGTATTGCATTCGTGAAAATTTTTTAATCTGAGTTTTCAATGGAAATACACGTTTTGGGGTACCCTGAGTCCAAATAACCAAGTCCCGAAAAATGGTCTGTGTTTATGCTAGCAGTATAGATCAAAAAAATGAAAAGCCATGTTAGAGCAACTTTTTCCTTGAAATCGGCTTATCGGAAGTGCCACGTTATATCAACGGTAAAACTCATTTTTACAATTTTCTCAAAAACGGCTCTAACTCGGTGTATCAGTAAATAACTAAGTGGTCTTTAATAATAATTAGATCATATTCCTATTGATGTCACTTTACAGGGCTTAAATACCCAATGTTTATATACGTCTTCCTCTAAAGTGCCTTTAATATGATTTATTTTAAATAATTAACTATCTCACATTATTAAGAGTAACGAAAAAATGATAAATTATAACTTTTGAAAGAATTTGATAGTTGAATAAAAGAGAAAAAAAAAATGCTTATTCAGGCCGAAAAAGAATCTCCGGAAATACTAGTCAGAAGGCATACGAATAGTATATCGTTGAAACGGAGAATTTTAGAAAAAACAATATCTAATATAGAAAGGTGTAGAAGATAACTGAGAATGGCGAAAAAATTATAAATAATAATTTTTGAAAACTATTTTTATTTAACGTAAATCACGTGTTTTCAAGGAAATCAAATGAAATCTTCTTACTAAATGTTAACTTTTAAAATTTGTAATTGGTTTTTAAAAAGTATTTAAAATTCACGGATTCGAGGCAATGGCATTGTTTACGATACTATCTCATTGTACTTGTGTGAAAGAAGAAGTAAAATATAAAAATATTTCATGGATATGTTTATAAACTTAAATATATATACTGTACTTTAATAACTCTATATCTGATATTACATTTAAATAATACGGTATCTATCGTCCGTTTATTCCGAAAAATCATCATGTAACCTTTTAGAAAATTAAATTACTGGATCATTTGATGAATTTTCCCTTTGTGATATTCGAACAGTATCCACTTAAAATTAGTGTGATAACTTTTGACCTGTCTATGACCGACAACGCAAATTTTCTTATTCCATTTTGGTAAACTTTGCTATGGAAAATAACAATTTGATAACTAATAGTGGTACACTCCACAATCAACGAATCGTACAATCCATAATCAATCGTAGATATAATAAATAGGACTTTTGTTTTTTAATGTATTTATGGTTTGTTAACTGTAACTTTTAGCTTTAGCTCGGTTAAAAATGCAATTCGAAAATTTTATAATAGTCCAACATGGCCAAAAAATAATTTCTATTCAGAGTTGAGCGGTAAGTGAAAGTTATGTGTCATGCGCACCAGATATTTTTCTATATAGTTTAACGGTTCATGATGTTCATTTCAAGAACATCAAGAAGAAAGGAAACAATATTGTGACCCCTTAGAGCTGGTCACTGCTAATTTATTCCACGGTCTAAAGCCTCTTAACTGTCTGAAGTGGCACTCTTAGAACAGTGAACAACTTACTCTTGGATTGTAAACATTACGCGGCCATAATGGTCCATGGTACCTACACTTTTTATCGAATTATAAACATTTGCCTGAAACTCCGCAAATAGCTTGATTTGATCCTAACCAACAAATATTTTATTTATAAAAATTCTCGGAATTGGGGCGTTTTCTTTCTGGAGATCGGCAAACCTTGCCTTTTTAATTAGGTACTAAAAACTCATGAATACCCATTTGCTTTCCACTTGAATCGTATGATAATATGATAATAAAATCGAATAGATGGTCTACAAAAATATTGGGACGCTTGGACTTTATAACCTCGTTAATTTAACTTAAAAATATTAGTACATTTGGCGTGACCTCCATTCAGAAAAATATTTTTTTAGGCGACGTTTTTTTCGGCTTTGTTGTCATATTATCATACGATTCAAGTGGAAAGCAAATGAATATTTATTAGGTTTTAGTACCTAATAAAATAGACAAAGTTTGCCAATCTCCTGCTTTAAAACGTCCCAATTACGTGAATTTTCGTAAATAAAATATTTATAGGTTACGATGAAGTAAAGCTATTTACTAAGTTTCAGGCGGATGTTAATAATTTCATAAAAAGGGGTCTATAGCGACAAGACATTTTATATAAAACGGTGTGTATGTTTATTTGCTATTCTTTATCCACAATCCTATACAAGTGTCTGTAGACACAAGTCTGCGACTATTCGGAGTTCATTGGCTTGTTTGTCGAGCCAAAAGGGGTCGCCGGGTCATAGAACTTGTTTCTCCCCTAAGCATTGATTCTTTATCTCTGTACATCTCTTCTTCACTGTCACTGGGTATCCAGAGTGCCAAATATCTTCCCTTCCAATGCTAGACCATTATCTCTAAATTGAATTCTGAATGTTAGTGGGGAGGATTGGGAATGATTTATTTATTGATTAGTTTGTATAGAATATCGAAAACTAATTTTCTAATATTTTTTAAAAAGGTCTCAGTATTTAAGCGAGTATCATAAATATATTAAATAAATAATGTAAAGATTATTTCTTAATATAATAACTGTTTTGAAAATAGATAGCTATTGTTCATTCGGAAACATAAATGG